AGACTTTAGATCCTCAGAATTTCTTGATATTTATATGATTAGAACTTGGATGAGACAAACACGTTGAATCTTCTTTGCACTTTCAAAATATTTACTTATCAGAGTATCAAAATTTAGTCTTGCAGCTTTGGTGCTTCAGAAGTTATAACATCAGAACTTCTTCTATTGAGCGTGTTTCATAGATTTGATTCTAAGTCTGTACGCTTTGTCTAATCAGAGCTTTAAAACGCAATTTTCTCATCATCTTTTATGCTCTTTTATCAGAACTTCTCTATATATTAAAATATTTTATTAGAGACCATATTTTTTCTTTATATATATCATGTGTTTGTTATCATCAAAACTATTTCTAAGATGTAGAAATAAACTATGTTCTAACAAAATTTCTCTTTAGCCAAATGTGTGACCATTATTAAGATGACTTGTTATACAAATTCTATCCTCTGTTTCGTAAACATGTTTTCTATTTATAGATAAATTAAAATTAATTTTTTATCTTAAAAAAAAGTTGATACCACAGTATTAAAAATGTATTTTAAAAAATGTGTAGATAAATAATTTTAAACAAAAGTTTCTAAAAAAGAAATTAAGGGGAGGAGATAAACGTGTTATGGGTTTTGAAATGGTTCGGGTATTTTGACCCGACAGAACCATTATCTATCCACACAGACACGTGGCCAATTCTCCGAAACGAAGAAAAATAAGGCACTGTTTGGATGCCACAGAAATAATCAATTTCCATTGAAACCCAAAAGGAGGTAACTGAAATGGGGGAGCTTTACGCTTTGGACTTCGATGGAGTCATCTGTGATAGCTGTGGAGAAAGCTCTCTCTCTGCTCTCAAGGTTTAATTCGATTCCATTCAATCACATATAAACCACAATTTTGAAAATTCAAAGTCATACCAATTTTGGGGTTTTAATCTTGAATGTTCTAAATTTTCAATCTTTTTTTGTTTTTTGTAATCCTTCTTGCAATTCATATAGTGTACTGAATTCAGCTCATGGTTTGTTTTGTTTGACGAATTTGCAGGCTGCTAAAGTGAGATGGCCTGGTTTGTTTGATGGGGTGGATTCAACCACTGAAGATTGGATTGTTGACCAAATGCATATAGTAAATAATCTCTGGATGATTTTACTTAGTTTCAGTTGTTATTATGGAATTTTATATTACTGTATTTTGATTTGGTTTAGCTATTATATTGGTGTTTTTGTACTTTGATTGGCAAAATAAGAAATATAGCACAGAATAAACTTGAATTTGCATTTAGTTTGACTCTATGGTTAGTTTATGTACTTTAAATAACACATTTTTTTACTGGCAAAAGTTAGTAAGTTAGTGATTGTTCCGTTCACGAGTCAGAAATGTGTAATGAAGTAGTGAAATGAGATTTTGGTACGATGGAACAAGCTTCCGGTAGGAGGAGAAGGGGTGGACCTTTAACGTTAGCACTCGAACGCCAAAGTCAATTACTGAATGAAAAGTAGTACGAGAGTGGGAATGAATTCAATACTTAAAATGATGCGATCTGGCCTCATTTTAAGTATTGAATTCAATATAAATGACACCAAGAGAGTTTTTATATGTGTGAGTTTTGCGGACAGTCTAAAACAGTGATTATAATAGATTCTTGGTGTCTCTTAACTCACTATTGAATGAGGCAATTTGGAATGATGGAGATGTCTTTTAAATTTTGATGCCTGAATTTGAGGATAATATTTTTACATGCACTTATTTTTATTGGTTGTTGAGATCGTAGGTTTGCAGTGCAGATCTTCAAACTGCTGAGTTTAATGAATATTTGTGTAATTGTTCTACGTGTTTCCTTTTAAAAAAATTATTGACAAATGGCTGGACTTGATCTCGATATTTTATAGATGAATTTATACAGTTGTTCATGTCAGGTGCGACCAGTAGTGGAAACTGGATATGAAAACCTTTTACTTGTGAGGTTGTTGCTAGAGACTAGAACACCTTCCATCAGGAAATCTTCGGTGGGTAAAATGCACATGCCTCTCAGGTTTTCTCATTGATTACCACATAAAATTGATACTAGGTTTATAATTTATGAAGCTTCTTATTTCCTTGAATCTGCTTCTGTAATCTGTTGAGTGATGTCAATGTTCTTGTGCAAGGTTGCAGAAGGGCTTGCAGTTGAGGGTATATTGGAGAATTGGTCCAAGTTGAAGCCGATTATTATGGAAGAATGGGGTGAGGATAGGGAAGCTTTGATAGATCTTTTTGGAAAGGTCAGAGATGAATGGTTGGAGCAGGATTTTGCTACTTGGATTGGCGCAAACAGGTACTCCAATCATCTTTTGACAGCAGAATTTATTTTTTTATAATTGTTATATAACCAATGTTTTAAAAGTCAAAACATACATCAAACTGGAGAGACCTACAAGTTTCATCGGCTATAAACCGTTCAAGCTGAGACAAAACCGTGATTGAGCCTTTCAAATAACCGAACTTTAGATAGCGTCATTTCTTGGTTCAACCAGTTGAATCGTCCAGTTTAGTTTTTAAAACATTGGCTATAATGTATACTAGATGCATGATGAGAAACCTAAAGCATTATGCGAACATATCTTTCTAAAGATGAAGCCATAGATATTCAGTTTATGAAAATTTTCAGTGCAAGGTTGGACGTATGTTATTGACCCAATTGAATTGGGCCAATTCAACCAGTTGCCTAACCTGAGAGTGGCAGATCCTTTTAGATTGGGGAAGTTGGACATGTGTTTGATTCTTTTGGATTTTGGTTGAACAATTATTTTCCTCTCTGTTCAAGGAAGTCTTATGGTAGAAGGAATCAATTTGTATTCCTCTTCTTGTTCTAGCTATGCTTCAGACTAGATATTGTCATTGGTCTGTTACATTAAATATATTACTCCCTCCGTTTCAAAATGAGTGTCATTTACAGTTTTTGCACATAGATTAAGGAATGCAATAATATTGTCATAAGATACTACACTTTTACAAAATTAACCTTATTAATGTATTGGAAATAGTGTCTATAGTAAAAAGTAAAAGGCACAATTGAAAAAAAGGTAATCTTTACTACATTGAAAAAAAGTGAAAATGACAATCCAGTCATTTTGAAACAGAGGGAGTAAGATATTTTGTTGTATGTCTTCATGGTTTGGACTTATTAATATGCAAACCATATTAAATAAAACCAATTAAATGGATTGGATTTGACAACAAAAACAGTTTTATTTTTCAAATCTGGATTACCAAAATCCAGGTTTTCGATATGGCTTTATTTGTAGCTTCCAAGTCCCAACAGGATATTTGTAGCTTCCAAGTTCCAACCTGAGATTTGTAGCATCATATAAATCATTTTATGCAGTAATATTTGAAGTCCCTTGACCATGCCATGAATGACATTTCCAATTATTAACCGGTGATGCTTTGCCTATAGAATATATCCTGGTGTTTCTGATGCATTAAAATTTGCAAGCTCAAGGGTGTACATTGTCACCACAAAACAGGTAAACGTTTCTCTTTACCCTAACAAGGGGTGACAATAATCCTCTTGCACTAGAGTTTTTCTTCCAGAATTATAGAAAAATAAGATGGGACGAAGTAATTGGTTCATTATTTCAGAGCCGCTTTGCCGATGCTTTACTTCGAGAGCTTGCTGGAGTAACCATACCACCTGAAAGGATATACGGTCTTGGAACTGGGTTAGTATTTGATAACTTTAATTGTAGTTATGCGTTAAAATATTTATATTTCAATTTTATTGTTTTCTTTTACAAGAATTTCTTTTTCATTTGACCTACAGTCCTAAAGTAGAAATTCTAAAGCAGCTTCAAAAGAGACCAGAACACCAAGGGCTGACACTGCAGTAAGATACTGAGCTGCTATTAGCAGTAAATTAATGTCAATTTGGTTACGACTAATTATTTGAATTTGCGAAGATGGTCTTCAAGAAATTAATTCCAGTTATTTTAACCAGCTTTGTTGAGGATCGGCTAGCTACGTTAAAAAACGTGATCAAAGAGCCTGAGTTAGACAATTGGAATTTGTATCTAGGTAGTTCTTTTTTCTGTATATAATTACTGCACCCTCCTTCATTTTTGTCTCAATTTTTATTTTGTGTATTATCACTTTCCTTTTCTTTTTATAATGTTGAGTTTACTTTATTAATGGCGACTGTTTGGATCAGGGAATTGGGGTTACAACACTGCACAAGAGAAAGAGGAAGCTGCAGCTATTGCCAGAATTCACGTTCTTCAACTCTCAGACTTCAGCAAGAAGTTGAAATAGGGGTCTTTGTTGAATTTTCATTTACCAATCAATGAACACAGACTATTTTCATCCAATTCCTATATAAACATTTAAGAATTATAATGTACACACTCTTTCTACTTAGAAATTTCCTCCTCTTTTTGTTAAACTGCTGTAATTTGCAAACTCTATTAAATGAAGTGACCTTGTTTTATCCTCAAGTTTGGCCTTGTTACATGCAGTGTACTGTTCTATGCAGATACAAAATGCTTGCTGTTGTAATGAAATAACTTGAATGTAACTTAATATGAATATCCTCAATTGGTTAATATCAAATGACTTGTTCAAGACTTAAATTTGTGTAAAACTTCGAATCTTTAAAATAGTTTTATCAAATGTTTGAATTAGTAAACTCATTTTTATGAAAAGTCATTTAAGTTGTAATGTCCAAATTTGAATATTCTATGTCATCGCATCTTAACTCAGACATGCGCTTGCACACGCAGGCATACAAACCATGTCTAAACTACACAAGGAAAATATCTATTTGGCTAAACTAATAGGAGTCACATTTATTGATTGATAAATAAATAAAAAAGACTAAAAAGGAAATATTGCAATGTAGACACATGTCATGATTTCATTGATAGTTGGCACCAATGATTTCAATGTTGTTTCAATAGAGAGTAATTATATACCATGCAATGCAGTCTTACATATCATATTTGGATTGGTTTTGGGAACATTGAAAGGAAAGGAAGCAAATGGGCCATCTCTATGCATTAGACTTTGATGGAGTTCTTTGTGATACATGTGGAGAGACAGCTATCTCTGCTCTCAAGGTTCTTGCTCTCTCACCTTGTCTATTCTACCATTTGGTTACCAATTAAATGGAAGAAAACAACTGAAAATAGTACACATAGTTTTCGATTATCTTTGGAACTTTCTGGTTTTGATGTTTGATGATTTGTAGGCTGCCAAGTTGAGATGGCCGACCCTGTTTGAAAGTGTGGATTCTGCCACAGAAGATTGGATTGTTGAACAGATGATTAGAGTAAATAGTTTAGTTAAAGTTCAAGTTTGATTACTTCTCTTTCTAGTTCTAGATATGAGATGCCCGGTTTTTTCATGTCAGGTGAGACCAGTGGTGGAAACTGGATATGAAACTCTTTTACTCGTGAGGTTGTTGCTCGAGACAAGAGTTCCTTCCATCAGAAAATCTTTGGTGAGTATAAAACTATAAACTCTGGCTTAAATTTTTTCTTTGGTGCAAGTCGTTTCGTTTGATTTTTTTATCATGGATTAGCAAGTGAAAGTCACAACATTATCATAGATTCTAAGGAACTTTGTGATCTATGATGATGCCATTTGACTGATGTCATAGTTCTTCTGAAAGGTGGCAGAGGGTCTCACAGTTGAGGGCATATTAGAGAGCTGGTTCGAATTGAAGCCTATTGTCATGGAAGAGTGGAAAGAAAATAGAGATGATCTGATCCATTTATTTGGAAAGGTTAGAGATGATTGGTTGGAGAAGGATTTCACTGGTTGGATTCAAGCCAACAGGTAGTCCGATCAAATGTTATAAAATGTGTTCTCGGTATGATTACACGTCTTCTCGATATGAATTTTACAGGTCAAAATTTTAATTCTTCGATGATTTGCCTCTAGATTCTATCCTGGTGTTACTGATGCATTAAGGTTTGCAAGCTCAAGAGTGTACATTGTCACCACAAAACAGGTCATATTTCTCTCTCTGCACCTAGCTGAAAACAGAGATCTTAATCCTAAGAGTACATATATTGCCCTTATAGCTTTGCATCTTCTGCATACTTTTCTATCTTTTCTATGGTTTCAGAGCCGGTTTGCCGATGCGTTACTTAGAGAACTTGCTGGAATAACTATACCACCAGAAAGAATATATGGTCTAGGAACCGGGTTAGTATTTCTACTTGATATATTCATACAAGTTCAGGTGCTGTGGAGCATTATACTAATACTTCATTTCATAGATACATTTGTTTCTCAAACTACCTTATATTTTCTTTCCAGACCTAAGGTAGAAGTGCTGAAGAAACTTCAAAAAATGCCAGAACACCAAGGACTGACACTACAGTTAAGATTTTTGTGCATTCAGAAGATATTTCGATTGACATAAACTTTTAAGATGATTTAGGAGAAACTAATTGTAGTTAATTTTAAACAGCTTTGTGGAAGATAGGTTTGCAACCCTTAAAAATGTCATCAAAGAGCCAGAGTTAGATAATTGGAATTTGTATCTAGGTAAAATTCTTCTCTGCACTCAATTTTCATCTCTTTGTTTCTAGTTTTGCATTAATTGTACTTTATGGAGTTGCCTAATAATTCTTAAACTTGGGTGTTTGGATTAGTGGATTGGGGGTTCAACACTCAGAAAGAGAGGGACGAGGCAGCAGCCGACCCAAGGGTTCAGCTTCTTGAGCTCTCTGATTTCAGCACCAAGCTGAAATAATAGTTTCAATTGAATCGTCAATGGTTTAGTCGAATATTTTCTTCCATCTTTTATTCTTGTATAAACAATAATCAATTCCTTGTGAATTTCTATTATTACAACTGCAAATGGTATGAGATTCAAAAACTCTTTTCATAACTGCAACCGTCATAATCAACACAAAACAAAAATTTCAAGTTTTTCCTCAGATTTCTAGAGGATTTTATCTGTACCGATTAACTACAATTCCGTTTTCACATTCCCATCAGCTTCCTCTGGACCAGCATTATCTGCTTCGCCCTTCTCACTATGTTGCTTCTGAATGAGTTCATCTAGGGGTAGATCTCCAGGTCTTCTAAAAAATTGATCCCCCATTTTAATTTCATATGCTTCTGATTGATCCAAGACAAATTCCTTCAACTGTTTACACAATAGAGTATGAGACAATATTGACAGCAAGCATAGTAAACTAAAAACTTAAGCTAGTTTTTCAATACAGTAAGACCAAAAGTTTAAGCTCCTAGATTGGAATTCAAAATCATAGAAGACAGCGGGATGTCATTTAGCAGAATCAGTAAACTAGGTGCCTGTTTCTATTTTTCCGCTCTATAAAGCAATAAGTGACAATCAAACTTTTTTCCGAACCAAGTGAAGTCACACGCGCTGTATCTGATGTTGCCATAATGTCTTAGTTCTTTATGTTCGAAAGAGAAGAGAAAACGTAAACAGGGAAACCATACCTCCTCTATGTCTTTGATGCTGTCCATGTTGAACATGATTGTACTCAGATCAACACCTGTAAACCTTATTCCAACAGCTCCAGTTCTCAGAACATGTGTCCATTTCATGGCAAGTTCAGCTACCATGTCCTAAACTCAAACATAAAAAATTGCAATGGTACTTAACATTTCATCCAAAAGTTCAAACCAGAAACCTCAAAAACTACTCTTAGTCTTTCATCGAGAATCGTTAGCAACACACGCTTTGTTATACCATTGCGCGAGATTAATGCATATCGTATTCAATAAAATTCACATTCTCGCGCAATGATATAACATTTCTTTGACAACACAATGTAAATCAAGAAATATTACAACTAAAAATTATGCAGAAAAGTTGAATCTATCCCCTTTAAGTAATGCAGGTAAAAATCACAACTTTAACTCAAATCCATCATGCATAATAGGTCAAAATCACAAATTTATCTCAAATTTCTGCTTAAATTCAAAAACAAAGATAGACTTTTCTCATCAAAATCCAGCAAAACTATTAAAAATCAAAATTTCAACATCAAATTAGAAAAATTGAGAAAGGGGTGGGAGGAAAATGTGGTTACCGGAGTCCGGCGAACACCTAATCGGAGCTTGACGAATCCGATGACGGGTCCGGTGTGGCGTTTCTTCATCTCCTCTTGGATCTGCGAAGTATCCATCTTGGATATATCAGAGGGAGCGAAAGAGGGAGCAGGTTTCTTGCCCCATTGTTTCCAATCATCATCTTCCTCATCGTCGAACACGTCGTCTAACTCGTCGGTGATGTGGACCTTGCGTTTGCCGGCGAGGGCAAAATGGGAATTTAGCGAGATAAGAAGAAGAAAAAAGAGAAACAGAGTGGTGAGGTTCATGATGAAATGCAGGGTGCAAAAAGAATCAATGAAAGCAATGGAAGAAAGAAAGAAACAAGTGTTGATAATGTGTTCACTTAATAGAATTATGGCTTAGGTGGTGTGTCTTTGCATGAACTATGTTAGTTGAATTTGCTATAGTTTATGTTATTGTTTGTTTAGGAAAATTTGTAAGGAAATTTATTAATCCCTTGTTAAGTTTATAACAAATATCACATTTATGAGAAATTTTAAAAATAATCATTTTTTAGTTTTAATATAACTTTAAAGTATTTTTTTCTTCAGGCCATTTAGTTGTCATTGTTATTTTTCTCAAACATCATTATTTTTTATGTGTTTAATCTTTCGTATTTTAATTTCACAGCAAGTAGCATTGATATTTGAAAAAAATAAATTAAGTTTATAAGTGGAGATTATAAATTTTAAGTGATATATTGAGAAGTTATGTGTATACAATGATTTTGTATGGGAAAAGTGAAGATGCAAACAATCTTAATTTAATAAAAGTATGTAGAAATATTGAAAAATGTATTGGTGTATATATGTCTAATACTAGCAAATAAGACTAAGATGATGGATAAGGTCAGAAAGTGGCGTGGATATTTGAAAAAAATAAATTAAATTTATAAGTGGACACTATAAATTTTAAGTGAGATATTGAGAAATTCTACAGATACAACAATTTTGTATGGGGAAAGTGGAGACGTAAATGTTCTGGACTGGGCCCGTCCTGGCCCAAGAGCAAGAACGAAGGCCCAATTCAGGCAACTCTTCAAGGAGCGCGCGTCCGAAGATTTCCGTCAGCGCGTCGACCAGGAGCTGCAGTCGTGTCCGCCGTGCCCGCGAACATGGTGTCCTCGACCACGTGAACTCCAGCTCGAGCCCAGCTCGAGCACCCTCCTAGTAGGGCAGACTGTGACCGTTACCCCATCACCTGAACTCCGGAAAGACCGCGTCCTCGTCCCTCCTCATTTCTCGCAGAGCATCACCAGGAAGGAGACCATGTGCGGGTCCCCACTACACACGTAGAACCTGGCAGTTCCTTTATTGGGCCAGTCCTAATCGACCCAGTGAAGGGACCTTGGCCCCGCGCTGGGGACTATGAATACCCTTTATTCCTAGAGGGTCAGGTATTCATTCTCTTACCCATACATACACTATTTGCCTGCTCGTACCATCACTCACTTTAGCATCAGAGTGTCTTGCAGGTACCCCCCCATCTCACTCAACTTCCGCTCGGAGCCAGTCGTGACGGTCCAAGTCTGATCAGGTAAGAATAGTGGCGCCGTCTGTGGGAATCTAGCTTCCCCGTCTTGCAAAACCTCGAAGACCAAGGCTCAAATCACCTCCTACCGTCATGGCTGACCAAGTTCGTGATGACCAAAACGTCCGCGTCGTCGACACCAACAACGGCCTCACAGACAAAAATGGACTCCCCGACAACGCCGGTAACCCCGGTCATAAAACGCTCCCCGGGGGCGCCAACCCCGGGCCCTCAGTCCACCGCGACGGAGTTACTGCATCATCCTCTTCAGTCCCTCCGCCGCTCGAAGAAGACAACGCAGCTCCCACGAGCCATCGAGCTGCCTAATTTCAGGAAGTCCCTGTCCCTGCCGGGGCAGATGCCACAACCCGCGCACTATTCGCGGCGATTAACCAAACGAATTACCTCATCTTCGCCCAGGGGGAAAGATTGAGGGCACTAGAAGACGATCGAAGGCCCGCGAGGAGACACAGGAGGCCCCAAACTCCACCTCCCCGGGTGACAGAGGTACATCTCCTGTCTCCCCCGCGGAGACACTACAAAGACACCTCCCGAAGCCCGTCACCCCGACCCTCGGGGAGACGACCCCCTTTGGAGAGGCAACCCGTCATTGAAGTCGGGGGACGCGGCCACGCCCCCATACGTCAAGAAAGAAGACACTCTGGAGATGGGCACGGAAGAATCAACCAACGAGCACCACGCTCGAGAGATGCCCAGCACGACCAGGACCGTCGGGCACGACAATATTACAGGTCCCCATCCCTGTCCCCGGAGCAAAGTGACGAGGACGACCCCCGCGGTCCCCTGTCACAAGCCATCATGGAGGCGCCCATTCCCCCGGGCATGGAGAAGCCTCCACATCTGAAGGAATACGACGGAGTCGTGGACCCGGTCGACCACATAGACGGGTTCGAGGCTATGCTGCACTACCACAATGTCGGGGGACCCATCAAATGTCGGCTGTTCCCCACGACCCTCAGAAAGGCAGCAATAGATTGGTATAAAGGCCTCGCTCTAGGATCAATCACCTCGTGGAGAAACCTGAAGAACCAATTCATAAGTTCGTTCACTGCGTCTCGGCGACACCCAAAGACCGAGGCGGCTCTCGAGGCCATCATCCAGAGACAGGATGAGACCTTAAGAGAATTTATTAATCGCTTCAATCGCGAAGCCATACAGGTCCCCTGCGTGGACCACATGAAAAGGTATTTGCTGGAGAGGGGGCTCCTCCCCGGCACAGAATTCAGAAAGGCAGTGGGCATCGAGCCACCTAGAACATTCGATGCCCTCCTCGAGAAGGCCCAGGCGTACATGGATTACGAGGAAAGGGAGGCGGCCAACAGAGCCCGGGACCCTAGAACTCACGGATCCATCAGCAACCCGCATCAGGAAGCTGCTCCTCCTCGACGAACCGGGGAGAAAAGAAAAGAGGACAGACCCCGAGAAGTCCGAGAGCAAAGAGGACCCTCGGGGCATTTTACTGAATACACTCCGCTCACAGCTTCCCGCGAGCGTATTTTGGCAGAGTGCGCCAGCACAAACTTTAAAGACGACGGCTTCAAACGCCCCCGACCTGCCCCCGCCAAGCCCGGAGCAGACAAGAGCAAGTACTTTCAGTACCACAGGAGCCATGGTCATCTGACTGAAGATTGTGTCCACCTCAAGGACGCCATCGAAACCCTCATCAAGGGAGGGAGGCTCGCCCAATACCGGCAAAACGACGCTCCTCATCGTGACGCTCGGGAGGAAAGAGAACCAGAGGAAGACGCCCGACCATCTGACGAGTCGGTCCCCGTCCAGACCGCCTTCTCCGTCACCAGACCCGAGGACTTCTACGTCCCCGAGCACCTGCAGGAGCCGCTCACAACACACAACAGGTGGGAATACTTTCCCTCCACCATGGTCATCAATGGTGGAGGATTCAACGACCTGACTATCAATTCGGCTAAAAGAAAGCTGGATGAACTGGTCGACGCGGCACCTCCGCAAACAGTGACCTTTGAAATGGTAAAAGGTAGGTCGGAGCCTATCACCTTTTACCTGGAAGAGCTCCCCGGAGGAGCCCCCAACGCAGTCATTCCCCTGCTGATAAGAGCAAGAATGGCTAACTTTGATGTGCACCGCATCCTCGTT